TACTGATGAAAAAAAAAACACATAAACTTACAAATGGTGGATTTAAATATTTTTAAAATCCATAATTTAAGTTTTAAAACAACGTGTTTAAGCTTGAGCCAAGACCACCAACAATAATCACAAGCAGAAAGAGGATTAGGCCATTTGATTATGGATTAGAGCGCGGGATAGGATTACACTATGTGAAATCAGATTAGGATATTATATGCCAGATAAATCTGTTAGTGCTGCAAACCGCATAAGTCTTTCCCTGTTTCTTTGCATCAGAATCACACCATAGTTTTTGGCTGGTGTTTCATGGCAAAATGGTTACTGACAAAATATAGCTGTGATCTTATGCAGTAAATCATAATACCTGTGAGAAAACAAGAAAAAAATCAAGTGTATGGTATTGCATCCGTGCTGTAATTTTGCAGCACACAGACGTGACATAAAACAAGAAGTTATTGAAACCCTATTGCTGCTGTCAGTCCCCTGTGAATTACGTTGTGACGATTTGTTGTTGTTCTTTGTAGGATCGTGAGCTCAGAAATGATTAAATGAACATTCCCAAGCTGCCCGGTATATTCACACAGCACGAGGAGTGGATGCCTTTCATAAAGCACCTCAAATCAATAGCAGCGCGATGGCTGTGTTATTACTGATAATGAAAAGGTGGGAGCTAACCTTGTTAGCCTCTGCAGCAAGAGCCCCATTGCACCAGAGCAGGTTGTGTACATGGAAATAGTGGAGATAAAGTCACATGGAAGTGTGTTTGTGTGGAGAGATAGTGAGGTGCAGATGGGGGGAGGAGAGAGAGCTCTAAGTTTGGACGCACTGCTCCTGTGTACGTGACATCTGACCTGAGGCATTACTCACAACACACACCACTCAAGTGTGAATAACTCAATGCTGTGTGTGTTTGGATAAACCTCTGGATCTGTGCCTGAGCCTCTCCCATGTCATCCATGTGTTTCACCCATTTCCAACATACCTTCAATTTGACCACTTCAGACCTGCTTCATACAGAACAACATGCGGTACTAGTTTGGAACGCTCCCATTAGTGCAGATTACAACCACTGAAAATCAATTATTTCTTCAACATCAGACTGAAAGATATTTTAACATCTAAATCTGTATTGTTTATATTGTGCAAACTTAGACTTTATCTGTATAATCCTTTTGCTCCCCATGTAATCCATGTTTTCATTCGGGCCATATTATTATTGTTCTAACATTTATCACAGATGAACACTAGCACTCTTTCATATCAGCATCATCCCGATGGTCCGATCCTGTCCTGGAGCACAGAGCTGAGCGATAGAAACATGACCTGTTTTATGACGGGCTGCCTCTGCTGAAATGCAAGTCACAGCAGCCCTGCTCTTATAGGAGATACTGCTTATCTTCTTCCCCTTGAAAGCCTAATTAGGTCGAGTCACTTTGAAACCAAGTGTGCTTTTTTTATGTTGTGATACTACGAGAAACTGTATGATTATCTATAATTGTTAAGTATAGCTTCATTTAAAAGAAATAATCCCATGTGTCAATAACTAAGCAAAAATAAAAGTTAAGGATTTTTTTTTATAAAAAAATATATAGTGCTATTGAAAAATTATTTTATTCTTGCAATACCTAAATTGCAATCATACTTCCCCCCCCCCACTCTCATCTATCTATATTTTTATCCAGTCATTTTAAACATCTGTTATATTTATCAGCATTTGAAATACTACATGATCCTGCAACATATCTCATAATAAACCACATAAACTTTGATTACACAAGTTATATCTCATCTATTTTGTTATATTTTGAGCAAACAGTAGACAAAGAGACCGACCGCTGCTGCTGGTCCTTTGAGTGTTTGCCGGACTCCTGCAGAACAAAGCTTCATTCACAGCAGGCGAGGGAGAGGACTTTCATGTGTGCGTATGTTTGGACAGAAGTCAGAGGAACGCAGGGCTGCTCCACACCACAACATCATAGCACCACCATCACATCAAAGTAGGGGAAGCTAGTACCAGACAGGGCCATTCTAGTGCCAAATTAGGACAGAATCAAATGGGTCAAAGTACACTAGACCAAGGCTGCTGTGGGTTGTGTCTGAGAAAGATAAATATTACCTGGATATTAGGGTTGGAGAGGATTTACAAAAATATCTCAGGGAGGATACAGTTAGTTAATTTAAGATTTTTTTGGCAAATAATTTTATGCTTTGTAGATGTGGTATGAAGGAAATATCACAGAGGAAGTCGATCATGTCTTAATCATTTCATTAAATAAACAAATTGTGACTAAAATCACAATATATTAAAATGATGCAGAAAGTGACTTGAAAAGAAAAAAAAAACTTGCTTAGAAAAATATCTATAACTGGTGCTAATATCGTACATTTGAACACTTATGTTATATTAAAATTTACTTTGTGGAGCTGTTAATGATATTTTGTTATCTCCTCAAAAAACATCACTGGATTGGTATTTTTGCTTCATTGTTTTATTAATCCAGTGTCGTCCGCTCTGAGCATTTTGCTAGTATTATTGCATCATAAGTTAAAATCCTGACTTCTCCTATGCAATATTTAAGATCATAAGCCATCACCCGTATTCTTATCTTTTATTTACTTTTTTTTAAAATTATTGTATCTCACTGTATCATTAATCTGTTTTTTTTTTTCCAAAGGATGGGATGCAGCCACACCCTGCATTCTTAACACATTTGTTCATTGTTTATTAAATCCCACACAATTTCTAAAGTAGGGCGTGTGTTGACTGTGGTTCAAGGGCTAAAAGAGTGCAACCCGGGTGGGACATGTTATTACTACTTCGATCGACTGCACAGTAGCCTGGAGGAGTTAAGTTCTTGGCTTAATCTGGAGTTTGGGTCAGGTGGAGGAAAAAAAAAAACAAGATATAACATGAAAATGGCTTCCAATATTGAATATTATTCCCCTTAACTATAAAATGACTTAGTTCTTATTCATGGGTTTCAGACACATGATCTCGTCCTGTTTTGAATGACTTCAAGCACTTTTCCCCATTCATAATATACAATATTTTTATTTCAATTGCTCAATTGCTGTGGCAATGATACCTCCCTAAAACCTAGTCTTTTCTATGATCTTTCCTCGAATGAAACTATCTCATTCTGTGGCAATGTCAGTACATAATTTATTAGTCGTTTATTGTTTTCGATCATTACATATCAGTCGCACAAATATTTTCCTAGTGCTGCATTCATATTGCTCATTTGTTTATGTTTTTGGCTTAAAAATGTGTAATAATACACTGTTCTATTCATTTGAGACTAGAGGAATGCCACATTTATATAGCTTTTGCAGAAACACAGGGATTCAAGCCTGGTGTTGGATCGCTGCGTTGCCGTGGACACCGTCTCCATGCTCCTCAAGGCCACTCGTGTCATAATAGCAACCATAAACCTCATGTTGGGGGCGTTCCTCTTCCCCTCCACTTGGATCGCTCCTTTCTCACTATCCTACATCTATGCTACAAACCATTTCTTGCGCAAGCTCTGGTTTTCCCTTGACACAGCCATATCAACATGATTCATTTTATTGGTATGATCTGTCTTGCTCTTGCTACTGTTAACTTCTCTTTGGTTGTTTGTATTCAAAATGGCAGCTGGTATGGGTTAAAGCCTGCTTTAGTATCATTTGTCTCCTGACCTTAACCTCCTAAACAAATACATAAATATATCAGTGCAGGGGTGAATCCGCCAGCCGACAGACAGGGTCAGATGGGGTGAGAGCAACATGATCGCGCCTGCCCCTCCTTTGCACATGCACACGGCCCCTCCCCTCTGTGCATACCATTGTCACTCTCTGGATGAGTGCTTTTGGAACCTGCTCCTGAATCGGCTCCTCTTCAATTGGCACACTTGCCCACTTTCCCCTCTCACACACGCACACACTTTCTCCGGTGTCAGGATACTGCTCAGTGCCAGCTTGGCCTAAGCACTGCATCCAACCACACCATTGAAGGATTGATTGAATGCTATTATTATTATTATGATCATAAAATGAATGTTATTTAGATAGACAGTAAATTGAGCAGACAGTCAAAAGTACACAGACAGCCATTATTGCATACATTTCCTTGAGGATATTGTCAAAATGTGTTCCAATATTTTATCATAATTTCACATCTTGTTTAATGAATAAATCAGGCTTATAACTGTTTACAAATCAGTCATGGATACTAGCTGGAACCTGGCCCCCTCCCTGTCTCTTCACACCTGTCCTATCTGCTCCTGTGTCAGTGAAAGTGAAGGAGGGCAGGCTGCAGTCATGGCACAGATTCAGATTATTCCCAGAGGGGACAGCTCTTTCAGAGAGGGGGAACACCACACTGTGCCCCGGGGCTCACACTAAATACATGTCTCTTTAACTGTGTGTGACGTTTATCTTCCACCTGTTACACGAACTTGACCCCGCTGTGCACACATTGCGTATACATTCTTGCTCGAATGAGAATGTGCTTGTGTCTGACTTCTTGTTGCACTATAATTGGATACGCAGCAGGCTGCAAAAAGGGACCCTCTCTTAGATAATTACTCCCAGACTTTGAAGTGTGACCCCCGAATGACTTCAGATGACTTGCTGATACAATATGGATCATATGAGTACATAGTATTTTTAGCTGTTGCAGCTAGTGTTGTAGCCAAATTGGATGTCTAAAGAGCAGCAGTGGTGTCATGACCTCCTTGAGCTAACACACACACAGACACAGACACACACAAACTCAGGCCCCTCATGGGACTGACTCAAATAGCAAGCTGTTAACAATTAGTGCTGCTCTCAGCTCATGTCAATTTCAGAGTCTGACATTGAACTATAAACAGGGTGTTGCATTACCAATATGCATTTTAGATTAAGGGCGGGATCTATGAGAAATCATAATTTAATATTTGATATCAATGTGCTTACACCGACACAGAGAATTTCAAAAACATTTTAATAGTAAATGTTTTTTTGTTTTTTTTAACTTTTTTTTCTAGGGTCGCTGTTCTAGGGAGAACTGCAAGTACCTGCATCCTCCTCCTCACCTAAAAACCCAACTGGAGATCAATGGGCGCAACAACCTGATCCAGCAGAAGAACATGGCCATGCTGGCACAGCAGATGCAGCTGGCTAATGCCATGATGCCCGGCACACAGCTCCCTCCGATGGTGAGAGTCACACATAAATAAAGCACCCCTGCATGCACAGACCTGTCCCCTCTCCTCACTGTGTAATTGTGTCCTCACAACAACCCTCCTGTCTGGTTGTTTACTTGTTCTGTCTTTCTGCCTGTAGCCCATGTTCTCTGTCACACCCGGTCTGGCGACCAATGCTAGCGCCGCAGCGGCCGCAGCTGCTGCAGCCTTTAATCCCTATCTGAGCCCTGTGTCCCCCGGCCTGATGCCTCCTGAGATCTTGCCCAGCACCCCAGTCCTCATGGCCTCTAGCCCCACGGTCAGCCAGGTGCCCAACGCTGCGGCCGCTGCAGCCCAGAAACTGCTGAGGACGGACAGACTCGAGGTAACGCACCAATAAACATACTGATCATCCCAATACTGAACATGTTTGTGTAGCAAAAATTACCCATTTGTAAGAGTCTCAGGGGTGTAAACGTGCTCTATATGAGGCAGTTCTAATGCTAATAACTATGTTTTATGGCATCTGAGGCATCTGCAAGAACCTAATAAACTATTAACTACACCATTAATCAAATACAGCACAGATCTTAAGTACATAATCATAAATTCATGCTGCTTGTTGTCAGCTTTTTCAGTGAATAATATTAACATACAATTGACAATAATAATGTTGAATATATGTTTTGTAAAAGGCGTAAAAGATAACAAAAGACCAAAAGCATTTCTGAGTAAGACGGACAAGGACCACTGTATAATACTTAATATAGAATGGTGCTACTTAATATTCAGCACAATACAATACTACTGACATTGGAGGAGCTATTTCAGATGTAGTGCTGCCCTCTGGTGGTTTTTAAAATACTATGTCTGGTGTCTAGTCATGCTTAGTTTATCATGATGTCTATAGAAAACATGACTTATGATGTTGTGTGCAGGTTTGTCGAGAGTACCAGAGAGGCAACTGCTCACGGGGAGAGAATGACTGTCGCTTCGCCCACCCTGCAGACAGCACCATGATCGACACCAATGACAACACCGTCACCGTGTGCATGGACTACATCAAGGGCCGCTGCACCAGGGAAAAATGCAAGTACTTCCACCCCCCGGCCCATCTGCAGGCCAAAATCAAGGCCACGCAGCACCAGGTGAACCAAGCCACAGCCGCCGCAGCCATGGTGAGCAGTCTGAACACACCTCAACACCCCACATATGTTGCAGCTTAAGCAGGCATCAGTTAGGTTAATTTTGTATCTTGTGGCTTTATACAGATTGTCCTCTGGTTTTTCAGTTCTGCTTTTTTAGTGGAAAATCTGCATGTTTTTGGGTTAAATCTGCACAGAGAAGGATGGCGTGAGGAAGGATCAGGCCATTTTACTCCACTTTAAATATTTGTTGTTTGGGTGGTGTGAATGCCATGTTCCTTGTTCATCTCATCCTTTAACACAAGGGAGAGCCAGTTCCTCACCACTTTATTTGTGACACCATTGTTTCTGCACTTCCTACTTCTTACTTCTCTTCCTCTTGACATTTTGAAGCAGGACTGATTGTGCACAGTATAAAGTACAACAATAGTACAGCAGCAGTATCTGTCCGCCGATCCAAGTACTTTCAAGTATTATAAGTATTTTCCAGTATGTGCCAGGCAGAGCTTTGGGGTGAATCATTGTAATGTGACACTGACTTTGATACGCAGTGTATATTTATATATCTTTCTGTCCACTGTGACTACTTATTTTCACCGCTATATTTATCCATTTTCTGTGTGACTATAACTAATGTAGAATGTAGCTACCACTGATAATTTTAACTGTTGAGCAGTAGAGCTATAGCGTTCACATTGTGCATGCCTTAGTCCTGTTATCCCCTCTGTATATTGCATTCCAATGATTTGTTTTTTTATTTGTTTTTGTTTTTTTCTCACCTATACCCAAACTGCACTGCTGCCCCCATGATGCACCTCTGCTTGCTGGTTTATGTTAATGCGCTTGAACCCCATTGGCCCATTGCCATCATGTGCTCGCTGCCTGCTAATTAAGACTCAGTCGGCTGTCAAATCACTGAAGCGACCCCTCGACGCAACCTTTGACCTGGTACTATGACCTTTCACCTTTTAGCTTGGCATGTGGCTTTGTTGTTGTGCAGTATTTTTATTAACCAAAGATACTTGGCTCTTTTTGTTTGTCGTTGTGTCGGTGCTAAATGTATTTCCTCCTGTCAATCTGTCATTATTGCTTGTGATGAAATGATGGTGGCCTCTTTGGAATCCAGTGATAACTGACTTCTAGCATAAAACGTTTTGCTATAATCTTCTGATGTGGACACAATCAGTTCATCACCTAAAGCCTTTAACAAACGTCAGTAAGGGCTAGGGAAGTAGAGCTTTTACAATGGTGGCATGGCTTAAGTCTTACTGTCCGTCCTGTAAGTCAGTGCTCAGTGTTGTAAGCTGCTCAATCAGAAGTGTGCATGTTTATGTTGCAAATGCATAAATATGGAAAAGGGTGGGGCTAAGAGGAACGGTCTATCAGACCATTAGAGGTGATTGCAGTTCAAATGATAGTTCAC